GCTGAACAGAACCAGCTCTGGCCCAGCTCCAAACCAGGCCAGCTTCTAACTTTTATTTCCCATGGCCTTGATTGTGAATGCAGCAAGACCTTTTTTTATTCACTTGAAGGCTTTCTATCAATGCTGTGATGGTCCATTTGGCTATTGTGCAGCAGATCAGACACTTTTCAGAGACAAAATGTTGCTCAGGGTATTGTCAGCGTGGATGCATGCGTGCTCATCTAAGTGTACACAAATGCAAAATGCCCTTGTGACTCTGCAGTGACAATTCTATAGAAGATAGAAAAAAGGTTTTCTGCTTTGACTTTTGTCATGGTAATCCTGGCAAGCTCAAAAGGAGTGCTGTCTTAGCCAGTTTGCTGGCTTAGTGCTGGGTGACTTCTGTTAGAGTTGCAAAAAAAAAAGAAAAAGAAAGTGCAAATATCCCCCACTGTCAGTTTTCCTAATAACTATCATTTTCATTCACTTTTCTTTAAGCCAACAATCCATGCTGCCAAAAATGTTACTGTTGCTGAGTATGAATGGAGTGAGTCTGCCAACAAACATCTAAAATTGTCTGCTCTTACTGCTTTTTCCTTCCCCTGGCAGTGACCAAAGTAGTTCCTTTCAAGACATAATGAAGATTTGGCATCTGTGAACTCCTGAGTTCACAGGCACACTTCATCTGTTTGCCTCTTGTAAGCCACATCTAACATGCATTACATGTATCAAAATGTCTTAAATTTGAGGATTTTCCTGTTTGAAGATCTCAGATTCCTTTACAGGGAGAGAAACTGAGAGCGGAGGACTGGGTAAGAGGCATGACTTCAGAAATTTTGACTGTGTGGCTTAAAAAAGAGATTTTTTTTCAGTTTTTTTTGTTGATTTTTTGGGGTTTTTTTTACAAAACTTGCAGCTTCTGTGGTCCCATCATTGGTGGGGTCTGTAACCTCTCCTTCAGGGGTGGAACAAGGCATTTTGGTGCATTTAGAATGCCTCATAAAAGGACTTTTCTGTAGAGTCTGGTAGTACTCTTGGTGGTTTTCCCACCTGTCCAACCTTTCCCTGCAGATGATTACAAATAGTTATTTGTTTTTAGCTCGGTCATGTTTCATACCACTCTGTCCACCAGTGTCCTGTTTCACAGCTTTAGTGTCCCTTTCACTGTGTTACTTTTTTGATACACACACACACACAATAAAAGTAATGCCCTGGATTGTCCTTATATTTTGCTTCTGCATTGCCAGCTGAAAGCAGCTTCCCCATCTAAGCGTGATTAGCCCGGGGTGAGGATTTGAGACGCCTGCAGCTTGATCCTTCCTGTACAAGTGTGAGAAAGCTGCTTTGTGCCTCAGCCTCTCCCCACCTGTAAGCTGATCACCACCCGCAGCAGCCTGTGAGCTTAACAGTGCCAAGTGCTTTTTATTCAGGTTGTATTTGTTTTATTCTTAATATTCAATCCCAGTGGACGTGATTACAACAGCTTTTGACTGAGTTGATGCCCTAATGCAAGACAATGTGCTCGTGTATTGCTTCTGGGGGTAGTTGGTCTGATTTTCAGCAGTGTCTGAGATTGTGAGGGACACCAAGTGCAAACCTTACAGAGGTTCAGCATATCCCTGCATCTCCCCACCAGTGGAGCAGCCGCTGTAGCACACTCTGGGGTATGTTTTTTCTCTGTACAGATGCTGAGAAGCAGTGTTGAACTTGGCCGCCTTCCTGGGTGTGTTTAAACAAGAAGGCTTTGGGTTTAAAGTGAGTAACAGGTTTGAAGTGAACGTGTCAGCCTGAGAAGCTGGCAGGTGTGTTCCAAACTTGGTCTTTAATCAGCTGTCAGTGTGTACCTTTGGCTCAGGGGAGGGAGGTGACAGCATGACACAGGAAACGTCTGATTCAGGCTTCTGTGGCAGCAGAAGACTCTACAGTGGCAGGGATCAAGGTGAAAAGCAGTAGCAGGTGAACTCACAGCTGTTTGTGGCACCCTCCTCTTCCAGGAGTTGCTGCATCAGTAATGTAGGGTTGACATCAGCCGCTCTTCACAGGGCACTGGGCTGTCTTGTCTAGACTGTGCTTTTGCCAAGAAAGGTTGGACCAGATGATCCTTGAGGTCCCTTCCAACCTGGTATTCTGTGATCTAACAAAACATTCGCTTTGGAAATGCACTTTTCCTCCAGGAAGCCCTGGGTTGACTGACCAGGCATCTCAACCAGCTTTGGACTACACCTCGTGCTCCTACGGTGGTCACATCAGCTGCCATCCTGGCAGTGTGTCTCTGGTTCCTCATCCCCTCTGAGCAGTGGCTTTGTTCAAGAGATGCCCTTTGTGCCTTTCACAGAGAAGTGACCCACACTGCTGGTGTGGGGAAAGGAGGGAGAACAGCAGCGTGTGACTCACTGTGGGACTAATCCTGCTTACGCTGACAATAGGGTCTTTCTTTCTCTTCCGCTTTCTGGACCACTGTCCAGAATTAGAATTAGCATTAGCAGGGAGGAACGTGTGGAGTAAGCCCTGGCTTCAGCAGTGGGTAAGTTGTTTGGCAGCTTTGAATCTTATGACCACACAGTGCAAGCTGCTTTGCTCCCTTGGCATCATCCCCTTCTATACAGAAGGGTGTTTGATGGAGGCAGCCGAACTGGTGAGGTTTTGCTGACACACATACAGCCTCTGTGGTCTGTTGTCCTCTCAACTGGCTCTTCTGGTTCCTTAGGGACCGCAGTGGTTTTAATGAAAGTCAGAGGTTTTCAGATCTCCACCAGAATCCACTGCTTTCGAGCAGTCCTCCTGAAATTGTTTCATCCATTGCATTTAAATCTCGGGGACATGAGGGATCTGAAGATACTCAGCCCCATACAAGGGAGGTGGAAACAACAGAAACACTTGGGAGGAGGAATTGCAACCAGAGAGAGCAGCAGCTTCTGGTTGCCAAAAGGAGAGGAGGACGGGAGCTTGGGCTGGTCACTCGGGAGGGGAGTTGGGTTGCATGCTCAGACCTGCTGACCAAGGAGCAGGCTGGATTGCCAGGCTGGTGTTTAAAGAGACAGCCATAAAAGGAATCTACTAATGATCTTTTTACTTTCCTGTATCAAAAACTTCAAAAAGAAACTAGATAATTAAACTTTTCACTGCTGATGTGGCACTTCTTGGGGGGAGTAAAGTGACTGACCTGTTGCAGTTTGGCTTTGGTTTTATCCCAGGGCAGTTTTGCTGGTTTCAAGGTTTTCAGTGGTTTAAAGTGAATTTTCAGTTTCTCAGATTTGAATTTGATTTAAAACAAAAACCAACCAAACAAAAAAGTCCTTCAAATGTCAAAGTGTAAAAACACTTTTTCCTGGAGTGATTAGCATGCCCTGGGTTTAAAAATGTCAGAAAGGTTTTAACAAAACAGCAAGCAGTCTTTATAGTTCAAATAGCTCTCTTAAAGGCTCCCCTAGTCTCAGCAGCTTTGTTGTCTGGGGTTGTTTTTAGTCTCCTCTTTCTTCTCTTGTAGGTTCACCAAGAATCTCTCTCCAGACAAAATCAACCTGAGCACGCTGAAAGGGCAGGGACAGCTGACCAACATAGAGCTGGATGAAGAGGTGCTGCAGAATGTGCTGGAGCTGCCCACCTGGCTCGCCATCACTCGGGTCTACTGTAACAAGGCATCGATCAAGGTGAGCAGAGGAGGCTGCCCTCGTGTCCCCAGATGTAGTTGAGGCCTTCTGTTGATAGCTTCTGTTTGTCACCTGGGAATTTCTGATGAAGAATCATTCCATCCACACATCTCAAATGCTGTGCTTTAGGGGTGAGATTTGCTGATTGAATGCTGTGAGGTAACCACAGCAGGTTGCATCAAAGGCTGCCTTTGCCAAGTGCTTTGCCCCGATGGTGGCTGACAGCAGGTGGTAGAGGATGCTGAGAGAAGCACAGGAAAAGTGTTCTGTGGTCCTTCCTCACCTTCAGGTGACGTAAGTGACATAAGTTTGGTAGGACAAGGGGAAATGGGTGTGAGCTGGAACACAGGAGGTTCTGCTTCAACTTGAGAAGAAACTTCTTTCCAGTGAGGGTGCCAGAGCCCTGGGACAGGCTGCCCAGGGAGGGTGTGGAGTCTCCTTCTCTGGAGACATTCAAGACCCACCTGGACGCCTTCCTGTGTGATCTCATTGAGGTTCCTGCTCTGGCAGGGGGGTTGGACTGGATGAGCTTTTGAGGTCCCTTCCAATCCCTAATATTCTGTGATTCTGTGAAGCCAGCAGTGATGTCTTTGTGTTTAATAGCTGCTGCTGAATTTCCAGGAATTTGCCCAGATGCTTTCTGAACCCATGTAACATCCAGAGTGTGCTATGGCAAAGAATTTCACAGCTAAAGCACATCTGCTTTTGCTTGTATCAAGCCTGCATATATTCATTTTAGTTGATAACCTCCTGGTACTGTTATTGGAAGAAATAGTGAACAATTGCTCCTTGTTCATCACCTCCATGTCACTTAGGATCTTACAGACCTCTCTGGTCATTCCCTCACATTTCCTTGCTATTTTGATAGCAGAGGAGTTTTCTGTCTCCTCTCATCCCTACTGATTTTTATTTTAATTCTAATGAAGTAACACTGACCTCCAACAGGAATAGGAAGCAGAGAGAAATGGGAGTGCAGTTCTCTGAAAGCCTAATTATGCTGTGAGGTATTGTAAAAATAAAACTGAACTTTTAATTGTTGAAAATGCCATTTGTAGGATGTGTGAATAGCGCACGTGAAAAGCTGCGCTCTGCGCCCTGTCAGCCTTTGTGCCCACAGTTATCCAGGCATAACTGATGAAATTATGCGTGCACTTGCACTTTTGCACACTGAACTCTTTGACAAGTTCTTCCTCCTTGTGCTTTTTAGAGCAAAAAATCCTTTTTTTTATTTTTCCCAGTTGATCTGAAATGCCAGCTTGTTTAATGTCAGTTTGTACTCACCATAGTTGCATTACATGAATGCAAGAGTTTTTAGTATATGGAAGAGACTTGCTATAAAAGAAATATGGTTATTAAAACTTGCTATAAAAAAAAATTCAGCTCTGCCAAGTGACAGTAAAAATGAGCTTGTCTTGCTCATCTGATCCGCTCTGTTTTTAGAGTCAGATCTGCTTAATTTAGTAGCAAACATTTGTTCTCCCTCCTACGAGAACTGCGGAATAAGTGTTGCTATAAGAAAATAAAATGGATCTCTTTGGTTTGTGCACAGTCTTCAAAAGCTACTTGACTTTCAGTGACAGCAGCAATTAATTGTAAACTCTTTAAGGACAAGAACATTCTCCATAAAAGAATGTGAAAAAATCAGAATTTGACCTTCAGAATATCTATTACTCGTGATGATATGTGAGATCCAAAAGCCAAGCTGGATTTATAGGTCTGGTGGCTGGCATGTCTTTTCACTTGTCTGTGTGAGCCTGTTTGACCTGGATTCAGTAAGACACGATGGATTGTCACTGTGGACGTTTCTCAGAGAAATGGGGCTCAAACTTTGAGCTCAAATGGTTTCCTGCAATTTCTCAACCATTCCAATGTGAAGACAACTCTTTTAACGTCAACTTTATTGTTTCAGATCCAGTGGACAAAGCTGAAAACACACCCAATCTGCCTGGTAATGTTTCTTTTCTTGTTCATTCCTTTTCTTCCTCACCCTTTTTAATCTCTTCTACTTGAGAAAAAAATCTGCAAAGGGAAACTGTAATGCATGCTCAAATCTTCATTTGACCTAAATCCTCTAGGCCCTTAGCACATAGGGGAAGGGGAGTTCTGAGAATAATTCTGTTTGGTGACGAGTGACCTCCCAGGAGACCCACATTTCACCGCAGGATGGAGCTGAGCTCTCAGTGAAGTCCAGGGCAACCTCGTGCCTGGTTTTTGTTGTTTGTTTTCCTCCCACTTCTGGGGATTCAGGTTACCCAACAATCCTGGCACTGATGGTGTGAGAGCTTTAACACATGAGACTCTTGAAGAGGCTCGAGACTCCAGAGCTTGTTTATCCCTGCTCTAGAGTCTCAGAACTAAGGCTGGTAGGCTGAGCTTAACTCTTGGTCTTGTATTTATTGCTCCCATGTTCTGTCTTTACAGTACCTGGATAAAGTGGAGGTAGAGATGCGAACATGTGAAGAGCCTCGGCCACCCAACGGACAGTCTCCCATTGCTCTTGCTGCAGGTCAAAGGTCAGACCCTGAGCCCTGTGGTTTCTTTCAGACATGCTGCTGGGGTATGGGTGGCTGTTGTTCTCAGTGATTAACCATTGGCCTCTCTGCACTCAGCTTTAAGTGATTCTGATATTGCTTGTAAACCCTGGAGTCTCTCTGTTTGTATTCTTACCTCTACCAGGCCTTTTATTGTAACAGGTGATGACTTTGAGGGATCTTCTCTTTGCAGTGAATATGGCTTTGCTGAAAAGGTCGTGGAGGGGATGTTTTTTGTTGTCAATTCCATCACCATCAAGATTCACTCCAAGGCCTTTCATGCTTCTTTTGAGCTATGGCAGCTCCAAGGCTACAGTGTCAACCCAAACTGGCAACAGAGTGACTTGCGACTCACCCGCATTACTGATCCACAGAGAGGAGAGGTAAAGAGTCCTCTTGTGTTGCCTGTCATAGTGTGCACAGTAGAGTGGCACTCCTGCTACCCAAGTTCTCTGGGGTGATCAGGCTGCTGTCTGAATTCTCACACAGTGATGGTAGGGAGCTTTGGTCAGCTTGACTACCATTTGCTGGAACAGGGTGGCTGAGAGCTGACTTGTGTTCAGAGCTTTCTCTGAGCTCCTCCAGTCTGAAAGAATGAAACTGGAGAAGCTCTGAATGCCCTTGTGGTTTGTCTGGTTTTAAACTCAGTGTGAGAGAAGGGGTGAGATGTTACCTGGGGCATGACTTCCCTTTTGTACTGGGATCACAGTAGAAAAGTGTGTTGAATGATTTTTTCTGTGGCCTTGTTTCATTCCACATCTTCTAAGCGTTTATTTTAAACATTAAAGTTGTTGAAGATCTCAGCATTTTCCTATTTTTCTCCTTCTGGGTAGGTTTTGACATTCAAAGAGCTCACCTGGCAGACACTTCGGATAGAAGCAGATGCCACTGACAATGGTGATCAGGATCCTGTTACTACTCCTCTGAGACTCATTACCAACCAAGGGAGAATCCAGATCTCCCTCAAGAGAAGGGTGAGAGTTTCCTCTGTACTTTGCAGGATACAGTCTCCCTACCTGGTACAGTGATGATGCAGATTTCCTCCCGTGTTCCTCAGCAACCCATCTTTTCCTTCACCAGTGTTGAGCCCAAGCTGCTGTCTCTCTGTGTTTCCTGTTTGAGACAGCTGTGTTCTTGCCAAATGTCAAAGCAGTTTTTATCCCAGGGAAGGATAACAAGTGTGGAACAAGTTTTTAAATCCATTTGTACATCCCAAGGAGAGCTGTCATCTCTTTAGTGGGAGATTATTATAGTAGCCTTATTTTTAGCTGTCAATGGAAATGTGATGATTAAAAAAAACCCCAAACCATCTCTTCTTTATTTTTTTTTGTTTTTCTTAAACCAGTCAGCAACTTGCCTCCTAAAGAGGAGACGCTGTGGACATCCCCCAGATAAGTTAACTTCCCTCTCAGATGAGTTTCAGAGCAGCATCTCTTGTTTCTGCTACAGTTTCTGTGTATTATGAAGAACGTATGTATATAGTTGCAATTCTTAAAAGTCCTTGACTCCTCCTTGCTGTTTCAGACCAAAGATTGCAACGTGATGGCATCTAAGCTGATGTTTCTCCTTGATGATCTGCTCTGGGTGCTGACAGACTCTCAGCTGAAAGCAATGATGAAATATGCAGAGTCTCTGAGTGAAGCCATGGAGAAGTCTGCCCAGCAGAGGAAAAGCTTGGCACCAGAGTCTGTACAGGTGAGTGGGTCAAGATTTGGATGTTGATCTGTCAGGAAAAAGGAAAAGACAAGGTAAAGAGACAGTTTCTGTTTGTGTGGCATCTGGCCCTTGGTGTCAGGTCAGCATTTTGTGGATTGTGGGCTGCTGTTGGGTAACAAAGTGACCAGAGGAGTTGGATTAATTGCCAATAAGCATTAGAGAATGTTCTTACATAGTCACAGGCTAGATTGTGTCAGATGGCAGGGAAAAAATGGTGTGAAGTTGCATGGCTTTCCAGATTTGGCTGGCACGTGGAAAGTTGCGTAGGGTCCCATGAGGATTTGATTTGGTAATAAGCAATGAATGTGTTGTAGAAATAATGTTTGCTGCCTCTGAATGACAGTCTGCCTAGGCCTGGGGGAAGGGGCTCTGGTACAGTAAATTATGACATAAAACCATAGTGAGCTGTGATGCTCAAGGGAGAACCTGGGCATCCAGTCTCACTGGTGTTGTTTGGGTTTGGTTTTTTTTCTTCCTAATGCTCTGGAGAGAGTGCTTGATTTTTGCAGTTGTTCTTTGGTTCACATATAGCTTAGCAGTGTATGAGAACCTTAGAACAGCAGCTTCTGCCACTAACCTTGAACTTCCCTGACCACTTGCATTGTTTTCAAAATGCTGGGCTGAGTAATTGTCTGACTCATGTCACAGAATAAATACGTAGGGCAGAAGACAAAAGATGTTTTCAGAGACAAGGATGAGGGAAGAGAAATGTCACTGCTGCTGGTGGTGGAAGCTGTGGGGAAGGAGGACTCTGCAGAGTGCAGTGAGATTATGTAGAAGGAGGGATCAGGAACACTTAGCCCTTTTTGTCCAGGAGTCTTAAAGAATATTTCAAGATAAGTGAATAGTAGCTTGATGTAGAGGAGGGAGAACCACAGACAAAGAGTTTTGTTCATGAGAACATAGGAAAGGATCCAGATTTCTGGGGTCCCAATTCAATTTCTATAAATTGATGCCTTGCAGTCTGGGAGATTTCATCATTTAGTTTTAATTGCATTATAACCTCTTTTTCTTTTCCTTTTCTTTTTTGTTTTGCTTTCTATTAGTTGTTACTGAGCTTGTCTCTCTCTCTCTAACAGATCACACCACCTGCTCCAAGTACCCAGCAGTCCTGGTCTCAGCCGTTTGGAGTCAGCCCAAATGCAAGTAGCATTGGTCAATACTTTGATAAGCATGACATGAAAGAGTCATCATACCACCTCCTCATCTCACGCTTGGATCTGCATATCTGCGATGACAGCCACACTCGAGAGTCAGGTAACTGTGAGAGCAGCATCAGGAGGACACTGCAGGAGGAAAACATTCATCCAGGCATCAGTTCTCTCTTGAAGGAGGATTTTTCTTTTGAAAACATCTTACTGTTCCCCAGTGAGGCAATAGGCAGTTGTTGAGGCTGATGGAGAGATCAGTTCTGTTTCTCTGAAGTAGATATTGGAAAATCTTTCTTGGCTCCGTGGGACAAACATGGGGGAGTCCATCAGTGGATGTGGTTGCCAGTGACTTAGTTGAAGTGATAGAGGATGTGCTCCAGGAACAACCTGGTATTGAGCAATGGGAATAAAGTGTGATTATTCCACTTGGTGAGAAAATGTTTGTTTTGACAGTTCAGGACATTCACAGTAGCATAGCTACAAGGATTCTTTGCCACCTTTGACAGACCATTCCCCTGCTTACCATGTTCTTTTCAAGCAAGCCTTTGCTACTGTCTGTTTTATTCCTTGCTCCCCTTTACTGAGATATATTTCCAAGTACTTTTTTTGTATTTTGAGGCAAATGTACCTCTTTCTCTCCCTCCACAGCCATCCCTGATCCGAATTGTACTGTTTGGTTTTACACACCTTCCCTTTAAGAAAAATTATCCTCCCCACATCCATCACTATTCCAGATATTTTTAATTGGTCTGTGTATCGCTGTCTCCTGAGCTGCTGTTACCAACATCTTAGCTCAGTTTTGTTCTCTTTCTTTCACTGGCCCTCCCAGCAAGTGTTGGAAACACAAGTGCTGGTCATTGTAGCAGGAAGTGTAATTGATAGTGGCCTAAGAAGCAATGGGATCTTGCATTTTGGTATTTGAGAATCTAGATCTGGTTCTTACAATATAAACTGTTGGCCTGTTACATTCAGTTGTCCTTTTCCTTGCCTAGGAGAAGATTTTGATACAGCTTTCTTAAAAGATGATACCCTAATACTGACCACGGTGACAATCAATCAGTGGTGGCAATCAAAGCAATATTGTTTTGAATTCTCCTGGATCAGGACTTGGATTGCAGAGCTGATCATGGTTTTTCTGTTTTCCATAGGTGCTTCGAAGCATGGGATGCTGGGAGGTGCCATGCAGCTGACCTTCAGGAGGATGGCTTTTGACTACTATCCTTTCCACAGGGCAGGTAGGGGAGTGTGTGACCTCCCAACTTGAGGAGGAGGATAAAAAAAGAATTTAAAGAACAGTGATGCTATATGGTTTCAGAGAGGACTGGAAGAAAGGCTGCACAAAGGCCTTGGGACTTAAATCCTCACAGGCAGGGTTAATCTGATTTACCTGTTGGAGTATGACTGACAAGTTGCTGGCAGAGCAGAGTACAAAGAGAGGAGTAAGTTGCTGTCTCTTGTAAAGACATAAAGTTGAAGCTTGGGATTGCTTTTCAGTTGCTTAAGCTCTGGATTTGGTTCTTACATGTGCCTAATCAAATTGGAAGGATTATGGGATGTATCCCAGGAGAAAATCTGTTTGTAGTTAACTGAAGAATCAAGGAAAAGTGACTTTGGCATTCTTTCCAACACTTGAATTTGGAACACTTGCTGGTAGGGCCAGCTCTGTTGTGTGAAAGCCTGCACTTGTTTCCCAAGCATTTAGTGTGCTGCATATTGCATATTCCAGATCTGGTATCAATAAAGATGAATGCTGTACAGATTTCTATACATTTGAGAGGCACAGGAGGGTTGTGTGTATCCAGGAACCTCATTTTTAAAGCCAGGATGTTTGCTTTCATGCAGGAGATGCCTGCAAGCATTGGGTGAGGTACAGTGAAGCAATGGAAGCACGAGGTCAGTGGGCAAAGAAATTGGTCAGTGAATTTCAAAGCAAGATGGAGAAGCATTATGAAGAAAAGGACCCTCCACTTGCCAGAACTCCACCTTCCCCCTTCAAAAAGAAACCAGGTAATGGCATTTGATACCATCTCCTGCTTTACTAAGTTTTAACAATTTTGCTCTGTCCAGCAGTATCTCTAGTCACCTCTCCCCAATTTAGCAGGCTGATTTCTTGGTGCAGAAATCCACAGCACACTAAAACTGATAAATATCATGGCAAAGGAAAGTGGCTATCATGCTGGAATAACATTGCAGCAAGAATGGACAGACTGCAGTGGTCACTTTCCCAGCTTATTTATTGAGTTTCTGTGTAACTGAGCCCAGAAGGCCAATAACCGTATCCTGGGCTGCATCAAGAGAAGCGTGTCCAGCAGGTTGAGGGAGGGGATTCTGCCCCTCTACTCTGCTCTTGTAAGGCCCCACCTGGAGTACTGTGTCCAGTTCTGGAGCCCCCAACATAAGAAAGACATGGACCAGTTAGAACAAGTCCAGAGAAGGGCCACCAGGATGATGCGAGGGCTGGAGCACCTCTCCTATGAAGACAGGCTGAAAGAGTTGGGGCTGTTCAGCCTGGAGAAGAGAAGGCTCCAGGGAGATCTTATAGTGGTCTTCCAATACCTGAAGGGGCTACAAGAAAGCTGGGGAGGGACTTTTCATAAGGGCAACTAATGACAGAACAAGGGGAAATGGGTTTAAACTGAAAGAGGGGAGGTTTAGATTAGATATTAGGAGGAAGTTCTTCACTGTGAGGGTGGTCAGACACTGGAACAGGTTGCCCAAGGAAGTTGTGGATGCCCCCTCCCTGGAAGTGTTCTCGGCCAGGCTGGATGAGGCTTTGAGCAACCTGGTCTAGTGGAGGGTGTCCCTGCTGCTGGCAGGGGGGTTGGGACTGGATGATCTTTAAGGTCCCTTCCAATCCAAACCATTCTATGATATAAGGAGTAAATTAAATACTTAGCCTGGCTGAAGAACGTGTTCTTTTGCTACAGAGCAGACTCAGCTTTCACAGTGTTCTTCCTTCAAAAGTCCTAAGTTGTTTGGTTTGTTTTTTTCCCTGCCTAGCTGTGCCCATCTGTTTCTAATTTTGGGACTGTTAATTCTGCTCTGCAAGCACATACATGTTGGTATTGATGGTGAAGTTTGATACAAAGATGATGAGTAAAACCCTGCTGATTCTGCTTTTCTATCCTCACAGATATTTTGTTGAGTCCTCATAAAAGTTCCTTACAGAAAGGCCGTGTCCCTCCCACAAGTTTGCCACGACTCAGGCACCCTCCCTGGAACCGGCTTCGATCCAGCTGTGTGGTAGTTCGAGTGGATGACTTGGATGTTCACCAGGTAGGGATATGAGCAGAGTCTGGAGATGTTCATGTCACTTTAAAAAAAGAATTTTAATCTGATACAATTCAAATAAATAATGCAAATCCTATATCATCCAAGACAATAAAAACTCTGCCCAGAGAACCCAAATGCCACTATGATGTTGCGTGTAAAACTTTTAAACCAAATATGAACTGCTGGTAATTTTTATGTTCAGAGGAAATTGCATGCATAGCCACAGAGTTTTTGCACTCTGTGTCTGTTCACATCTAAACTTGCATCAAGCAAAGGTAAAGGGTAAAAAATTTCATGTGTTTGAGAAGTTTAATGAGGATATGGATTAGTTGACAGAGAAGGAATAAGCCTTCACTCATGCTTTCTGACCCAGGACAGAAAGCATCACTAGACTGGGTCAGACCCTACATCCACATGCCCTGTAACCATTGCAGGAGCATGATCAGTACCAGATACTGTAATGGACTTACCAACATGCTTTTAATCTTTAAGAAAGCTTTAACATATTTCAGTTCTGTTTATTCACATCGTCTAATTCTGATTGTCATGGCTCTCACTAGCAGTGACAGGAGACATAAAGAGCTGAATTCCCTCAAAGGAGAGGAGTTGGCAATATTAGCAGGTAGAAAAAAGCTGTACTTTTACTTGAAAGCAGCGTGTGTTTGATGTGTAAATGAGATGGATTGAATACAGGAGACTGCAGGGTTACTGAGACACTTTGTTTTGCCAATTCTCCTTACCCTTGTGTTTTCAGGTTTCTACAGCTGGTCAACAAAGTAAGAAACCCTCCACCTTGCTTTCATGTAGTAGAAAATTCTTCAAACTTCCTGATCAGGTCTCTGCAATCCATATTGAATTCACAGAGTATTACTTCCCAGACAATCAGGACTTTCCAGGTAATACACCAAGGTTAGCACCTTCTTTCCTAAGTTTCTTAAAGAATCAGTCAACTCTCAATTATTTAGGTTGTTAACCCTGTTCCATATTCTCTGGGTGTCCATGTTTGTTTAGTCTTCTGATGTGGAAGCAAAGTTGTACTTGCAAAATAACCTAGCCAGGAACATATTGAAGGAGCTGTTGTGTTTGCCCGACTCTTGGGGTTCTACCTTATTGATTAGCACTGGAGGAGAACTGTAGGGTGCTCTGGCTTGATGTGAGACCTGGAACATCTTGTTTCTCTAGTGCACCACAGCTTCTCCCTTTCCTCAAGAGATCTTGTCTTCCAGTGGGTGTTGAAGCCCTCTGCATTGGTGTAGTCAGTGTGAAGTGCCTTTTCTGCTGCTATTAATCTGTGTTGCTTCTGTTTCATTCTAGTTCCATGCCCCAACCTGTATGTACAGCTGAACGGCCTGACGCTTACCCTGGATACAGCAAGTGTGCTCTGGATAAACCTCTTCTGTCTGGATCTTTATCGCAGCTTAGAACAGTTCAAAGCCATCTACAAGCTGGAGGACTCAGGCAAACATGATGAGCATGTTGATGTTCGACTGGATGGCTTCCGGCTGAAGGTACTCTTCATTTCCTTCCTTCCCCAGTCTTCAGTGTTCTCTCCCTCCCTGTTGTGGAAGGAACATGAGACCAGGACATGACTTCAGTCCAGAATGAGAAAACAAAACCTCTGCCATTCTCTAACTTTCTTCTGTCTACCATTTGTGTTAGTTTTGTTTTGATCTGTGAGCAGTAAAGCAGATGCTTGAGTTGTCTAGGGAGGCAAGTCAGTGTTTATGAAAACAGTTTCAAGGAGAAATTGATAGTTCAAGTTGTCAAAAGTTGTTTTCTGGGCTTTGGAAACCACTTTGACTCTCGTACAGTTCCCAGTGGGCTGCACTGATGTCCTCTGGTGTTTGTCACTGACTACCCTTGTTAGCGGTTTTGTGAGGAGGCTTAAAGGCCTTTATTTTAGTAGAGACCAAGACTTCACAATTGTTCATATATTCCACAACTGAGCTTCGTGTAGATAAGCCTCTGTTAATTTCCCTTCTCACAGCTTTACTTGTAATGTCTTTCCTCCTCTGTGTAGCTTAACATCCCTGTGGAGAAGAAAGTCACTGACCATCAGGATCGTCCCCAGACACTCTGCATTTGCATGTCGGAGATGACTGCCACCAACACTCGCCACGCTCCCTTTTGCAGCTGTCAGGATCTCCAGAGCCTCTTCCGTAAATTTGCCAGTTCAGAATTCTTCCACTCCAGCTACACTAAGTTCCCAAAGTCTCAGGACAATTTCAGCCTCCTCCACACCCTTTTCTTGCGCCATGCGTATGAGGTGGATGGTGGCCCTGAGAAGCAGCCAGGCTCTCCCCAGCTACTACACAAAACCTCTGCCTCTGAAGATCTGTGGTCTATGAATTTCACTGAGCTTTCCCTGGACTTCGAGGGAGCTGAAAGCTCAAAGGGCAGAGCCCTTAGTTTTGTTGACCCTTTTCCCCTTTCCATTTGGGCCTGCCTTCCCAAGAGATGGAGACAAGCTCAGATATCTAAACGACAGGAGTTGGCTGCCTCCGAGTTGAAAATCAAGCCTTCTGCCAGCTTTAGCAATCACTCCAAGAATAAGAACCTTTCCACAGAACATGGGGTTTGTCAAAGATCAAAGACTGACCAGGATCTGAAGAACATCTACAAGGTCCCAGAGACAATGAATGTCTTGAGAGAATCTGGCTCTGAAATTGATGATGGAGTAGATAATAAAGAGCTGGAAGCCTCTGCTGATATCCATATGCTGATGTCCTCATCTGTTCATATCAAAGTTCGCCTCAACCACTACCAATACTTGGTGCTGCTCAGGATGAGAGAAGTTCTGCAAACACTACAGGAGCAGTTGGCCCAAGATACCCAGGAAGTGACTGGGTCTCCTTTAGATCTCATGTCTGCTTGTGTAGGAGTTATGTTCCATAGTGCTGAAGTGGCCCTACTCATGAACCCTGCACCAGGGTCTGTCTTGGAACCCAGATCTCTTGACTCAGACACAACAAGCCTGATTGAGTCTGAGCTCTCACCATCAGACAGCAAGGAGGGGCTGGTGGCTGAAGAGAAGGAGCTGAAATCAGAGACCAGTTCAGAGAAGGGAGTGTGCAGTACCTCAGAGGTCCCAGAGGACAGCGGGATTGAAAATACAGGTACCAGTGTAGCCAGTGTACCACTGGAGAGACTCCCGAAATCCCCAAGTGATGGAGCTCTGAGTACAGTAGAGGAGAAAGGTTTGATAGAGGAAGCACATGAAGCTGTGGAAGCCCTGGTTGCAGAAAGATCAGCAGAGACCAGCAGCCATCCTCAGAGCCCTCCAGCTCTCCCTTCTAGCCCAACCTCAGACACGCAGCCCTCGGGGAGAGGAAACATCGCTCTCAATGGCCAGACAGAACTCATCCCTTTGAAGAACATCGAGGTGGAGTTGTCTAGTGCGCTGCATATCACCAAGGATGCCACGAAGGAAGCTCTGCACGTGACTATGGACCTGACTAAAGAAGCCATGTCTATAACAAAAGATGCTCTGAGCCTGAGCCGGGAGAAGATGACCTCCACCATGCAGAAAATGCTCTCTCTCCCTCCAGCCAAGTGAGTGGGCCATCCTCCTGTGCTTCACAACAGCAGCAGCAAGGCTGCTGGGAAGGGGGGAACATAGGCTGACTGCTCCCTTTATTTCCATATCATTTGGATTAGAAATAAGTTAGATCTTCATCTCTTGGGGTTGGTCTAAGTACACTAGAGTCTGACTTGCAAGTGTTCAGCCCAATATCAGTGTGATTTGGAGGCTAAGCTGCGTGCCTTTATCCCTTTTATTTTTGATAGGGAGTCTGTGCCCAAAGCAGAAGAGGGAGCAGTGACTCCGGGCGGGAGTGGCAGCAGCCGCATGCGTTTCCTCTCCATGAAGAGGACAGCATCCCAGCATTCCTTTGACACCACATCTGTGGATTGGAGTGGCCCTGAGGATGGGCTGTCTGTGGACAGCGATGGCAGTGATGGCTTTGTGATGCTCACAGACTCTGGTAAGAAGCAGTTGGCTTTATCCTAGGGGATAATGGGTTTAAACTGGGATAATGGGCTTTAAACTAGGGGAAACGGGTTTCAACTGAAAGAGGGGAGGTTTAGATGAGATATTAGGAAGAAATTCTTCACTGTGAGGGTGGTGAGACACTGGAACAGGTTGCCCAAGGAAGCTGTGGCTGCTCCTCCCTGGAAGTGTTGAAGGCCAGGTTGGATGAGGCTTTGAGCAACCTGGTCTAGTGGAAGGTGTCCCTGCTGCTGGCAGGGGGGTTGGAACTGGATGATCTTTAAGGTCCCTTCCAACCCAAACCATTCTATGATCCTCTCCCCTACTCTTATTTCACAACAGTGAACAGTTTTCTGCCGTGGACCATGCTGTGTTTGTATGGAATTCACTCGTGCCATTCCTCTTTGAAGGTCATAAGTAGTTCATCCATGATGGCTCTCTCTGCTTTCTGCCTTTTCTTTGAGAATGAGGAGTATAAATGAGTGGAGAGGGTGACTCCTGCACATAACAATGGTGTTCTAAGGCATTTGGCCATACTAGAGCAAGACTGTAAATGTGTGCAGGTGGTACATAGCCTTGAGGAAGGGTTTAGGAAGGACTGGTTGGAAGTAGGGTACACTGAATGTCTTTCACTTCAGCTCTATATTGCTTAAATTCATCTGAGGAGCTGGAGAGAATTCCCTAGAGGATCATACAGGCTGATAGGCCATGAGATTCAGGCAGATACTGAGATCAGGACTTCTTAAAACCAGGAAAAGAAACAGAATTGATGAGTTGTTGTTGTTCTTTCCATTTCAGAACCCAGCCTGGACCCTCTTCCCTCAGGGCACCTTCCTCAGATCCACGACACAGGCAGTAGAACAAGCCTGATGGCAGAGGACGAGGGTGGAGTGTCTCCTGAAATAAACAGCTCGACTTCACAGAGTGAAGACCCCAGCCTTCAGCTGGTCAGAGTTCTCTTCCTTTCACTGTCACACCGTCTCTAAGTGAATCTGGAAGCGCGTGGCGCAGCGGTGTTTGTTTTAATAAGTGAGCTTGTCCCTTGCTGTTCTAGGTGTCTGTCCTGATGTTGAAGCTGAATGAGATGAACTGTGGAATAGAGGCAAGAGGTAATGATTTGTCTGTTGCTTTACAAGTAACAAACGTGGTTCCAGAGCAACTGAACAATGTTGGAATGTGGCAGTACCTGCGTGGCTATCTGGGTAAGACACTGGCTCTTGGAATCCGTTGCTTTTATAGCTGCACTTTTATAAGTGGATTTTATCCTGGTCACCCTCAGGGAATATTCCATTTTAACTGGTACTTCAGTGTTAACATCTCGTGTGTTTAGGACTGGATATGACATGTGTGTGAGTGAATGTGAATGCTTAATATCTCTCTGTCAGTGGTTCAAATCTGATGTTTGAAAGATATTTCCAAGGTGCCTACACAGTCAAGCTCTATGGTGCCTAGTAATCATTGACTGGGATTTTTTTAATTGCTTCTAAGGTGCATAAATGAATTAAAAGAGTGAATAAAGCTATCTAGGGGTATTAGTTAGGTGAACTTAGATGAAGTTATTCCTGCCCTGAGAATAATGCTTCTGGGCTAGGGTACTCCCCCAGGGCTAAATTTGAATTAAAAACAAACAAACAAAAAAAAGCCAACAAAAACCCCAAACAAACCACTCCAAAACCAACAAACAAAAAAAACCCTCCAATCCAACTCCAAAAAAAACCGAAGCCAAAAGCACCTACAACCCAGAACTTCAAGTGAAAGCATGAGCAGTTCCTGGACTGTTGATCCCTTAACAGTTCTGCCTGTCGCCACGAGAGGGCAAAGTGGAATACGAGATCATCGAATCCCAGGCTGGTTTGGGTTGGAAGGGACCTTAAAGCTCATCCAGTTCCAACCCCAAGCTTGGAGATCAGGTAGTGTTGAGGATCCTGGAAAGACCTATCAGTTCTGGAGAGTGGAGTGGTGAGTTTGTGGTTAACTCGTGTATATGCAAGACCAAGGCTAGTTTTAAAGTGTGCTGAGATGGTGAGAGAAAGGGATGCATCTGGGGGCTTAAACAGTCCAGTTCTGGTGCTGTTCTGGTCCAGTTCCTGTGATGTGGAGTTTTAGTCATTTGAAATTTGAATTAATGTCATGTGAAGGATGATTTCAGGCTGCTGTCACTGTGAACTTGACTCTGTTTTGCATCTGGACAGTAAAGGGCTTTTCAAGAATACCTGTTTTGAGTTTATATCTTGTTACTGCATTTATATCTTCTGCAATGAGATCTTTCGCTATAGCTCTAGGAGATCCAGGTATAGAGAAGCCTCCAGTCCCTGAAGGTAGTAAGACCCAGCCAGAAGTGTGCTTACGTCTTGAACTGGGACCTAGTGCTGCTGTGCATTCACCACTTGCTGTTCAGAACGGCTTCCTTCACATGCTGGTCCACAGTTACACAGCAGACCTCTTCATGTCCTCCCTTACCAACCTTGGCCCCTTTCTTGAAGATGAAATAATTCCAGAGGTGATTCCCATGGAGATAGAAGTTGTAGATGCCAAAATCACATTAAAGGTGAGTGTATGGGGAACCAGAGATTCCCCCCAGGATGGCAGAGCTCACCTGCAAGATTCTGCTTGGAAAAGGATGCTGCAGGATTGCTGTGGGCCTCTCTAGAGCTCCTGTTTTCCTGATACTGTTTTATTTTGTTTCTAAAATCTGCCTTAAGGATGAACGAGTAACACAGTGGAATTGTTGATTGATCAGATTGTGGGGAAATGGGAGCCTGACATTCAGATTCTCTCTCCAGCTTTGTTGATAACCTGCTTTCCAGACACAAGGGAGAGAATTAAATACCTATTCCTCCAAGTGCTTTGTGAAATGGGGAATATTTGACCTTTTCTGTAAACATTTAGAGAATTACAGATTAAAAACATCATGTTAAGAGCTGGTTGATATTTAGGAGGGGGGCACTGACAGGAGTTCTTGATTGAACCTTTTTTGATAGCAACATTTTGGCTCCACTGACAAGCAGAAACTAGTGTTGCTGCACAGCAGCAGGGAAATCTTCAGACTAAAGGATATTGTGGGTTTTTTGGCTGAGGAATATTAGCTAGGAGTTTGAATTGGGAATTTGTAGGATGACAACTGTGAGAGCAGCTTTCAGGGTGGTGGTTGTAGGTTTTTCATCAGCCTTTATTAGGGATATGGCAGAGCTTGGTTCTGATCTGTGGGAGTGCTTTCTACGTGGATTAAGACTCATGTGCAGCCTTATATATAAAGCCAGGCTTTTGCATGTGGTGGGTGACCTTGGTGAGCTCTGGCAGCGCTGCCAATCGTTAACACTACTCCTGTGAAGGCTGGGGGCAAGGGGAGTCCTTTGCAGAGTTGCCAGAGCTGTCACAGCACTTCATCTCATCTCTGCTTTGTTTTTTTTTCCAGGATGACACCCCCCGGGTATACCCTACCTCCCCTGGCCCTGTTCCCATCACCTTGGCAGTAGATCACGTCATTGTGAAGCGCAGAGATGATGGAGTGTTCTATCTGACAGGTCAGCAACGTTGGGAAACTTGTTTTAAATCTCTGCTGGCACCCCCCTGGCTGTGCTGGAGGTAGTGCTCTGCTGTGCCTGGTGCTGGAGGAGACTGGGACTGAAATGTGATGGTTGCTGCTGAGAAGGACGAGCTGTTGTGCGTGAGCAGTCCCTGCTTCTGTCCTCTGCAGTCACTTCTACCAGAATGGGCAAACAATCTTCTGTCTTCAGTGCAAGCACCTGGGTCCTTTGGCTGCTCTGCCGTGTTCATCTCTGGATGCACGTGCATTCCTCCCTCTCTAGTTCTTGCTGCTTTTGTTGTTTTGTTTGGAGAGCAAATTTGATACCTCGGGCAGAACAGATTATACCTAAACCATGAACTGGCAGCTTGAATTCATGCCTGGTGTTTCCTTGAGCTCACACAGTCAGGACAGATTCTTCTTTCTTCCCTTGCTTTATTTTCTCTCTTCTAAAATGGGAATGAAATTTTTCAGTGCTTAAAAAGCTGAAGATATTCTTTTTGTCCCGAGAACCCTGTTGTATAAATGTCTACACCTGAATTTGTTCTATGTTTCTTTCCAGCTCCACAAGGGAAGGGCTCACCGAAACAGGAAAAACCTGTGTCAGTCCTTCAGGAGCAGAAGGCTCCAGTGGAGTGTGTCTTGGCAGCCCCAGCAGCAGGAACACGAGAACTGCAGGTGAGTCACTGCTGCCTGTTGCTGTCTGGACAACTCATTAGCTGGCAGTAGGCTGGAAAATTAAGTCTTTTGTCTTCATGTGTTTGCAGTTGCTGGTAGGTGTGGTGTGTTGCAGATAGGGAGTGCACACAAACAGGCTGTACCTCCTTTTACAAGCATTCTGAGAAGTATGGATACCTTGCCCAGCATAAACTCTCTTGTTCCTTTTCAGAAATCTCTTGGGGTTTTTTTAGTGGCTCTTTCTTCCCACTGTGTCCTGTTCCTTGTTAGAAAAATAGGAATTGTGGGGTTCCCACAAAGAAATACAAGTTTTGTCAGAGTAGAGTAAGTCTTAGAGCCAGGGAGTTTCAGGTTGCCTGGTTTCTGCTGTTCAGTTTGAACTTCCATTCCATTTTGATCCATATATCTGAATACCAGATAACTTGTTTATTTTTCAATATGCATTGTTCTCTACTTACACTTCCCATTTGATGCCAGGTCTACTTGGTGAATTGACCACTTGCTATGGAAAAACACATATCAAGGGAGCAGTGTGGCTGACTAGGTACAGAACTGGACTGGGAGTTTGGATTTTATTCATTAGCTGCTGACACAGCACTTCATTTCTCATGTGTGTCTCACCCATTTAGTGCAGAGACTTTTTCTTCTTCTTCCCATTCATAGATGGCATCCTATGAAACAGGGCCCTGAGCAGAACTGGAGCACATAAGCATCACAGTAGCTTAGCTTCAGTTTGTTTTCTGATGTTATTGAACTTACTATTGGCAAAGGTTAAATTCTTGAGTAAAAATATTCATGAGAGCCCAAGGAAAAAAAAACTTTCCTGTGCCATGAAACTGCAGTGGGATCTCACTGGCAATGTTTGAGGACAGAATTAACTTTGTTCATGGAGACAAGAAATAGGATTGCCAGGCATCTGCTTGCTCCAGCTATCATCTTAAACTCCTGGTTTATTTTCCCTCTGTTTGTCTCTTGTAGTTAAAGGAGGTGTCAGAGTTGCAGAGGGAGCTTCAGACCATGAAAATAGCCCTTGCAGAAGCCAACATGGACAAGACTCGCCTTCTGCAGGAAATTAGGAAATACAATCCCCTCTTCCAGCTTTGACAGTGGAGGGCTGAGGCTGCAGCTGCTCGGGAGGAGTGGAGACCACCACCAGCACTAAGGCGGCTCGTTTGATTATATTGCTGCTAAAAGGGTCAACCTCCTGAAGAATGGTCACCTCCAAGAATGGAAACCAACTGGGATTGCAAAATGAACTGGAAAGAGGGAGGGGGAAAGGAAAGGAAGGCCTGACTGAGCAACAGGGAAGGAACGAGGAGGAGTTATCTGCTTGCAGCCACTTCTCTCTGTCCTGGCAGTGTGGTGCTGCCTCTGTCACTGAACCAGGGCAGTGGTCAGCCCACAAAGTCAAAAGCTGTGTGGTGACACCCCATGGCTCTTCATCCATGGGTGGCAGTGACAGTGTGCTTTCAGCCTTCACCTGTCAGGGTAGCATCTAGAAATGTTGGGGTTTCTGCTTCTTTCAGCCTTTCTTGTGTTCTTGCTCAGTCATGCCAAAGAACACAGCAAGAGGAGGGCAGTTACTTCACCACATCAAGGAGTGAGAGAGAGTAGGTATGGCAGAAAACATTGCTCAGAGTTCTGGTGTGAAGGTGTGTGTAATATCACATGAGAAACAGACACGCAGGAGGCTGGTGGGTGTGGGAGACACAGAAGGGATTTCCCCCTGTGGAGGAAGGAGGCTACAGCTCATTATTCCCTCAAGAACAGGATCAGGATAGTAAAGAAATTCCTTCAGAATTCTTTTTTCACCAGTAATTTGTTGCGTCAAGACAAGAAATCAGTAGTACATCAGACTTAGTCTAGTTCATTCTCACTTAATCCTGCAATGTTTGGCTTTATTGATGCAGAAACAAAAATGAATTAATTTATTTCATTACAAAGCGCTTTTTAAACTTTCTTTAATTTTACTTTCAAAGAATAAGGGTGAAGGAAGTTGATTAAGTCATGGAATGAGATGACCTCTGCGTTTTCTTTGGGGTGCACGCTGTCCTCAAACCATTGTACACCAGTTTCACCAGAGGAGAGAGGCAGAGCAGCAATGACCACACAAGGAAATAGCTGTCTGTGTCCCTACATGGTTGGGAATTTTTTTGTTAGCACTGTGTTCTTGCCTGGTCTTAAATGTCTTTTAATGGGGATGTTGGTTTGTGGGTGAGAAGAAGGGTGGTGACCAGGCCCCCTTGGGTGGAGGCTCACATTAATTAACTGCTCACTATGGGGTGGAGATAAAACAGGAGCTGTTGGGGTGAGCATGGTTTGTGTTCTCACCTTTTCTGGAGCTGCTTCTCTGAAGAGGAAAGTCTCTGTGGTCAGTGACTGGCTGAATTTATAGAGAAATAGCCTCTAAAAGTGTGGAGGGGGGGAAAAAAAGCAAGGCCTAGTAAAAATATGAAATAAATACTAATTTTGAAAAGTAAAAAAAAAAAAAGAAATACCATTTATAAACTGCAAAAATCAAATCCACTCCTGAAGGCAAACTGGCAGGTGGTTTCTGTGCTTTATTAGTCCAGGCAACATGTGGTTGATGTGCTGAAGAAGGAAGTGGCTGTAAGGGACAGTTGTGAGGGGAGAAGTTGTTCCAGAGGAGAACAGAGGGGGTGACTTTCAGCCTCCTCTCTGTTATGCCTGAGCACCCCTTCCCTCCTGTTATACAGCATCATTCCTGTGTGCAGAGATTGTTGGATTTCATCTTATTTCCAGCTTTGATTTGGATTTTTCCAGCTGTGTTTGGTGTTTGTGTAAATGTACCATTTCTGACTCACAGGCTTTTTCGTGCCTGCAAACCAGGTAGCGATTGCTGCACACGAAGTGCGAGGAAAGGTGACAGATTATGTGTGATTCTCCTTTATTAATCAGATAAAAACATCATTTGTCTATAAAAACTGGGTAACCTTATTGTGTGTCTTAGCTGAACACACTCCCCAAAGCTTTAATTGAATGGATTTTTCTATTTTATTTATTTTTCTATGTAAGCATCACTCCACTGAGATTAGTTTAAAATCATACAAGATTTTAATGCTGCTCACTATGCAAGGAGCAGCCTCTGATTTACAAGCCATGATGAGTTGAGGCCTGAAAACTACGCAAAAGCAAGCAAATAACTTGGGAGTTGTTTGTTTTTCCTGCCATGCTCTTAGATACTTGTCCCTTTGCCCAGCTCTGGAGCTGTTGAACACTTCTCCTTAACAGGCACTCCTGAGATTATTCGAGTTCTTTAGCTCTAGGGGAAACGGGGCCGTATTTACAGCGCTGGGTTAGATGTGCAGCCACTGCTCTGTGGTTTGTGGGGAGCTGAGAGTGAATTCCTTGTGGTTGTTAGCTTTCACTTTGAACAGAGGGGATGTAGGAGAAGGGATGGTGATTAAAACAACTGTCAGTCTTAAGATCATCATCTTAATTCCATGTTTGACTCTCTGAGGCTGAAGGTAGCTTTGAACAGCCTTTGTTGGAATTAGTCCTTGTGTGCCAGGTGGGACCAGCCTGCCTTGGGGCTGGAGTCCAGTGTTTCTGCCAAGATCTGACTGACCAGTGCCTACAATCAGATATGACAGCAGCAGTGACAGCCTGACCTTCCCTGTAGAACATCTGGAAGCAGGCAGCCACGGATGAATTAAAAGGAAGAGGATTTGCCTTTGGCAGAAGCACGGGAGCTGAGCTGGGGGAGGTTTTGTCCTCATCTTAGCCGGGGCTGGCGCTGATGTTTGGATGCTCTGACTTCTGCCAGTTGCTTTCCTTCCTCCATGGGAGAGGATCACTCCTCCTCGTTCCTGTTAGACAACCTGGCTGTTTTCTCTGGAGCACGTTCTGTGACCCATCCCCTGCTCGATGCTGCCTTTGACAGGACAGATTTGTGGTGCTGCCTGTGATGGGAAAATGCACTAGAGCAGCCTGTGGGGCCTGTTCTCCGGAGGAAAATGCACTTTAACTTTTTCAGCATCAGCGGGCATTTCCTTCACCAATACTGCCTCGTGCACAGAATTCAGAGAGGTTCTGAAATGCAGATTTTCTTCTGTAATAAATAAGACTGTTGCTGTGAGCAGCTCTCATAGCAGGAGAGAAAGGAGGTAACAAAGCATCTACGTATCTAGACTTGCTGTGAAACCAACCCCTACGCCAGCAGCTCGCTCATTGTAAGTACCATCAGCAACTGCACAAAGCCCACACAAGCAGCAGCTGAGCTTTGTTTAGTCAAACCTTTGTGCTTCTCATGCTGGCTCCCTCTTCCCGTGTGAAGCAAGAGCTAGCAGAGTGCTTGCCTTAGGTGGAGTGCAATGGTGTTCTTATTTTTCATTCACTAATTGCTTGTGAATGGGAGGTTTCTCTTTTTCTCTTTTAAATTTCCCTGACTTTTTGTTTCAATAGGTGTCCAGCTTCATCTTCAGCCAGCCTGGGAAGTGAGTAGGGTGCAAAGGGTTTTTCTCAGACCTGGTACTTACTTGCTGTGTCACACAACTCCTTACCACTCCCTCCCACATGTGCAGACTGAACAGAGCTGGGGCCAAGTTGTTTACAGCAAATTCTTTGCTCCAGCAACTCAAGTCAACTGGTTTTGTTTAGGAATTAAAGCCCTTCCATTGTTTTATGTTGAAGTACCAGTTAAAAGTACTGTAGATCAAAATCCACTTCCTTTGTACAAGGCATACCTGTGGGAGGACAAAAACTCCCCTCTCTCCACTGATGATTTAAAAAGTTTACTTTTTAGAAGCTTCTATTTAAGGACTCTTTCTGTGTTATGATGAGAGCCAACTTAATCCTTTGTGTAACTTACACCACAGTTACCTGAGGAAGAGCACATGGCCTCAGCATCTTTGACACTGAGTTAGAAGCAGCGTGCTCACAGGGGATTACTGTATGTACAGGTGGGTAATGTGCAAGTCTGAACTTGAATTGGAGTTTTAGGCAGTATTGGAACTCTGTTGCAGTATCTTTCCACTCATGCTTTTATTGGTTCTATGAACCATGAAAAGAAATTAAACTTGTTAACCTCCTTACAGGCTCATGGTGCTTTTTTTTCCCCCAACCTCCTCCTTTTCTTCCTCTTTTACTTTCCTAATTGTACTGTTTTCTAGACAGCTCCATAAAACTGGCTTTGGGAAGAACAGCTGAGTGATGACTGGAGAAGCATCAGCTTTCAACACGCGTTCCCTTGCCTCTGCTCACAGAACAATACCTGCCCGAGGCAAGGCGAAGCTTCAGGAGCATGTCTGGGTTGGTTGAGACACATCACCCCATCACACTCCCCCTGCTTTGAATCACACCAACACCATTACACAATTAGTGTTTCCCAGCAAGATTAAGAGTACAGTAACAAGTTTAATGTAAAAAAGAAACAACCAAACAACAAAAAAAACCCACCCAAACACTTCTGTCCATAGACACCACTGCATCTGTGCCAGCAGAAAGTAGGATCCTGGTGGGTAAATACCCTGAAGCCCACGGCCATTCCTGTCTCTGCTCTGTTGAAGCAGAGGAGCCCAAGGCTCCAGGTCAGGGATTTGTCTCCCACTAGATTCCATGTCATGCTCAGGTGACAAACCTGGCTTCAGGGGTGACACAGGAAACCTCCCTTCAGTCACTCACATCTACACACAACACTCCTGAAGGAGCTTCAGCCTCATTGTGCTGCTGGGACTGTTGTGAGGTTCACAGCCAGAAGCTTGTTTAAACTTCTGTCTTCCCTTGCTGCTCTTGGGAGGTTTCAGTGGAAGATGATCTTCTTATATTTGGAATTGGGGATTTGTCCCCGTGACTTGAGCCTCCTGACGGCCTCTCGCATGTGCTTGGGCTGCAGAGGTGGCAGCTCCCCCCACTTCTCACACACGTCCAGGGCTAAAAAACAAAACCCAAAGAGTTCAGTGAGCAGGACAGCTCAGCTTCGCCAGTCTCCTGCTGTTTGAGTGCCAAGTTTAAAGGCAGCAGGTGACATTTTTGGCCATTTCACAGCTCACATTTTGTTCATACACAAGAACAAAACTGCTTTGTGTGCTTCTCTTTAGCTGAAAGAAAAGTCACTCCTAGAGCCATTGATACTGGACCAGAATAAACCACTTTTTAAACCACTCCAGCTGCTATGGAATATGCTGGTTTGAGTCACACAAGAATTTATGATCTTAAACCTGCTGCTCTAAAGCCAGCCCTGGGTTGGGTGGTGTGTTTTGGGGTTGTGCTGTACAGCAGTGACAGGAAGGTACAACCTCCAGTGGACTCCAGGGGCCAGTTTCTTCTCTATCATTTACAGGAAGAACCATTCACACCTCCTGCCAAGGACACGAATCAATTAACAACATGAAACAATTAGTGACAGCAGTGAAGCTGCTTCTCCAGATCACCTCAGGCAACGCAGCGCTGCACAGACAGCGGCAGCAAAAGTGCATCACCCTGGTCACGGGGATCCCAGCACATATGGGCCATGGTTTATGTGACAAGTCCATACAAACCAGTTGGCATCAAAACCAGTATCACCTCCTCCAGCCCAAGCGGAGCACGGACACAGCTGGGTCAACCTCCTGCCTGGTGTCCTAAAGAGATCTCAGCTCATCCCATAAAGTAAGAATCTTATGGGTTAAGAGGCTTAAATAATTGATTTTCCTCTGAGCTGGATTTGTCCACAGCAGCATTAACACAAGATTTTTCCTGCCCTGCTCACAGGCCACCTGACAGAGCGAGGACTTGGAAGTCACCCTCCTTGGAGAGGAGGAAACAGGAGGTCAGTGATCAGCAGCCTCTGCTGACTCAGGGGCAGAGATACTGACAGAATTAGAGGGGCCTGTGAGCAGCCCCACGCTTCACCCCTCGGGGCTTAGCTCTTAACGTAGCGTTCTGCTGCTGCTGGAGGGTCAGAGGCCACCAGGGGACAGCGAGACGGGGAACCACAGAACACCCAGTCTTGTTCCATGTCCTGTTCTGCTGTAAGCAATTAATTTACCCCCCTATTCTTAACTTTTTACTTAATATTTGCCACTCACCTTCCTCCACCACCTCCCCAACAAAGACCTTGGAAATGCCTGACATGGCGATGACGACGTTCTGAGAGACGGAGGTGCCGGTGATGGACTGGATCAGCTGGAGCAGACAGACAGACAGACAGACAGCTGAGCCAGGTACACAGCGACAGTGAAACATTTTAACTTGTATTTAGCAGTTTGAGCCTGTCAAATATCAACCAAGGGCAACTGAAACGTGCAGAACAGCAGGAAATGAGCTTTAGAATTAGGTCCTTCAGCTTTGGAGACGTGATGACTGTTAAGATTTCAGCTCACCCTCGTTCAGCTGCAGACTCTGTACCACCAATTACATTCCCCTGTTGTCTCATGGCTCCCCAGATCACTGTCACTTAAGATGAGGTCCTGTTTAAACTGCGTAAGGGCACCGAGCTGCCCTGCAATGGGACAAGGTGATCTGAGGACAAAGGTCTCACAGAATCACCTCGATTGGAAAAGCCCTTTAAGCTCATTGAGTCCAACCATGAACCCAACACTGACAAGTCCCCGACTAACCCATGTCCCTCAGCACTGTGTCTACACGACTCTTCAATCCCTCCAGGGATGGGGACTCCACCACTGCCCTGGGCAACCCCTTCCAATGCCTCAGAACCCTTTCAGCAAAGAAATTCTTCCCAATATCCAACCTAAGAATCCAGCCACAGCTGGAGAGGGGAGCACCACAGCTCGCATACCACAGAGCTGGCTCATGTTGTGTAAGACCCAGATAAGACCAGGCTCAGTAAGGCCCAGCCTCCTTGCTCAGCTCAGCCTCACAGCTGGAGTGAAGCATTCTCAAAGTCGTACCCGTTTAATAGCAGCCTTGGGGAAGGCAGAGCGGCGATACATCTCGTAACGGTTCAGCTGCTCCTCAGAAAAGGAAGAGACCAGTATTCTGGAGTGGAGAGAATTGATCGTTTACAGTACAAATACAAACAAAAGCCTGAAGTTCTTCAGGCTGCTGGAACAGTCCCGCAAAGCCCTTCAACCACCCCGAGCCTCCTGCAGCGCAAAGGGGAGGCGGGAAGGGAAAGGCAGCAGCTGGGGGGGGGTTTATAGCGGGAAATGGTGAGGGGAGACCCGGGAGGGAGCTGCGGGCACCGCCAGCAGCAG